CGGTTAGATAAAGGTAGTACATGAGTATTGTTGATTAGCTATTTTTTCTTGAGTTTACCAGTTAAAAATTAAGGACGGCTATACGCTTATAGCACTCTTGTGTAATGTGCACCAAAATTCAGGAAAAAACAAATATCTGTTGAAATGTGGAAGGAAATTTATCATAAGAAATTAAGTCAAAGGAACCAGATGTAGGACAAATAAAGATGCAAAGGATTAATTACGTATTACTGAAAGGTATTTTACCCACATTTTCAATTCTGTATCGCAGCAGGCGTATATTATGCTACCACGGGCAACATATGGCACCTATAATCATGGTGATTTTTCAATCATCTCACAAAACAATGTCACCATAGATATATTTATAACTTTGGGTATATAACAATCCTTCCTGATGAAAAACATTGAAATACAACGTGATTGTTAAACGATTCAAAGCTGAAGGACACATTTTGAAAAACGGGGTCTTTAACGTTACCTATAGAAGCGTGTAAATTCGCAGATCAGAGAGGTTAGGACAGCAATGTGCTCTGAAACCACACACCCATATCTCAGTGAAAATAGGCACATCCTGGTATCGTTAACAATATAATAAACAAGAACAAGAATTTAACGAAGGTCCACAAGCTGCCACCACACTTCAAAATCATTGGTTGTTTTTATTAGAAAAATCACTGGTCTAACTCGAACGGAAGCATTTACACTTAACCACGTGAAAGTCAATAACCCTAATGGATTCTATTTTATTTTTTACTTTGACTCTGCTTTAGCATTTTCTTGAAAACCAAGGTCCACGTCCAATGAAGAGACTGTGGAAAATTTGTCAAGATATATGGTCTAAAATGTAGACACACGGACTTTTATCTACGTTAAAATACTTTTCATTTATTTGCCAGCTTTCTGCACTCATACTGGAGCCTTCATCGGACAACAATGTACTGAACAATACAAATTCGTTAATCTGTCTAGGCAACAATCGTAACAATAACTGACATCTGGTATTAAGTTAGAAATATAGAAATTATGAAGGAATATAAATTTAACAGTCAAATATTTAAACTTTTACATAAAACTGAATAATCAAAAACCTCGGTCTTTGTAAATTAAAATACGATATGTGGTCTAAGATTGACCTCGCTGTCTACCACAGAAACTTGTTACAATGAAACTGGAGCTTTCATCCTGAACGGTACCTTATACGGTAATCAGTCAAGCCAGAGACACCTAGTGAATTAATAACTAGATGGAAAGAAGCTGGCATTAACTCCTGCTGCGACAAATAAACTTTCTCTCCTTCCTTAAACCTAATAACGGGGTTGATTATCACTTGTATAACACGCCTATAGCTGAAAGAGTGAAGCTTATTCGGTCTCTAGTCCTGGACGTTTCGACCCACATCCTGAAATGCTAACGATTATGCAACGCCCAGCCGATGTTACAATGGAAATTGTGACGTCGGGCACTAGTGGATAGTCATACTCATCAAAGTGACCACGATCAGCATTAAAAGATTTAGTTCCCAAGGAAGCATAGAACCAAAAATATACGAACAAAATATGAATCGGCAGATAAGAAGTTACACCCTTAATAATTATAATTATTATAATAGATTTTATTTCTTTTATATACTTCATTAAACGCTGCCATTTAAAGGAATATAAGAACATACTCTTACCCAACGTAACCGAGGGCAGTACATTCACAGGTTAAGATTCCTGTATTTAGGTCATGATTAATTGTAACACAAGTATCCGTATTCCAGCTCCTGGTGGCGAGGTTGAACAATCCACACTAACGAAGAAAAAAAAAAGGAGCATAAAAAAGAGCGCTAATCCATACATACACACGCAAAATACCCCAGCAATGGCTCAGAGCGAGTGCCTAAATCGCTAAAATATTAGGTTCGATCCCTGTGATAGGCACAACACAGATAGCCTATTGGTCTGTCTTGCGTTTAAAGAAACAAACAACGACACACAGAGATCACATAGGTGTTAGCATAATGATTAATAAACTTATGATTCTGGGCGCTAGAATTATAAAGTTTATATACGAGTAGGTTCCGAAACTCGTTTCTCTGGCTAAAATATATCAAAGGTTTACGATGATACCATCTCAAGATGTGGTGTTTAAATAGTGAAGTGTGATTACATGTAAGTAAAGAAGAACATTGATCCAGTTTTACGGATTTTATGCGAAACTTTTTGATGAAAAGGTTTCTCTTAGAACAAAATTAACACATTTTAACAATAGTCGTTGTACTTGAATATAGGAAAAACAATCACGCTCTTAAGTGTGATTCCAGATCATGTGTGATAATTTGATAATAGAACTAAGTTTAATAAACATTATTAGAAAACACATGTTTAACACATACCGCTACAACTCGATCACTGCCAGTTTTTATGTTCTCAACTCGTACTGTCACAGTTACTGGAGATGAAAGGTCTTCCACGAGCATCTGTTGACCAGTTCTTGGATTAAAAAGTTGAATCTGCAACAGGGGGCCGAGGAGATCACTTCCACCAATCACAGTCGCTATCTCAAGAGCGACCTCTGCCGAACCAACACATGCACCATAACAAATTTCTGAATCACATGTCCATGTTTGGTAAGTGTTGATGAGGTCACTGCCAAAAATCATCTAAAGGGAGATTTGAATATATATTCATGTAACTTCACTTCCTAAGATATTAAAACTGTTTTCGAAAGTTCGTTGGATAGCCAGGAATTCGAAGATAATTGAAAACATTCGAAGATTTTGCATATGGCATTTAAAAAGGTTCAGATGTACTTATTTTTCTCTTGTTAGCAAAAAACGTTTAATAATGTTTGAGTAGTAATAACACATTAAATGTCACTCAATCTGATCTTCTGATTTGTTTACCGCTCATTACTTAAATAAAAGTTGTAGTAAAAAACAAATACGCCACCAAAACGTTATAAGTTTATTCTGTGAGTTGAAGAAGGTCATTTTTGTAGATCACAGGAAGAGGGGGGGGGGGCGTTTAGCAGCTACATTGCTTCAGTCTAGAGTACAAGAAGTAAGAGAATTGTTATCCATATATATATAAACGCGAATCTCTCTCTCTCTCTTTATCTCTGTGGGTCTGCCACATCTTTAAAGCTACAAACTCCAGACTCGGGGTACTTTGTGCGAGAAGTAACAAGGGATATGTGGCTACGGCCTCAGAGGCCGTTTTGAGGCCGCAAATTGAGACAAAAGTGATCAATATAGCAATTTGTGGCAAACAAGATAACCAATTGGTCTCAAATTGAAAAGGCCGGATTTTTTTTTTAACGTGTGATGAAGAGGGCTATTATTTACGTTTCTTCTGTGTGTGAGGACTTCTCCTAATTATTCTACCAATGATCAATTGTGCGTTAAAACGAATTAAAAACTTCGCGGAGCCTTCATTTGTGCTCTTTCCCTCCTCCTCTCTTTCTTCTACACATATTTGTTTACTCTTTAATTCCCCTTAACTGGAAATGGCTAGTGTTTTCTCTCAAACTTGCGCTCACACTCCCTCAATTAAATTGGCTTGCTTCTGCCATATCTTTTGTTTTGCTTGCGTGTACTCGAAAGAATCACCTCTTCGATGACTTTACAAAAACGTTTGGTATCGGCAAATTTTCATTTACGTTTTGTTGCAACGAGAAGAGAATAAATCAATTCTTCGTTAAATGGACACTTGACCACACAGTTGAAATCAGGACTCCAAAAGGTAAGGAATTTTGTTTTGGAAACTTGAAATGTCATTCAAAGCACATGAAAGAAGTAGGAGCAATGTATCCCGTTTTGATTTGATTAGAATATCTTCAGCAAAGGCATATATTTATCACACATTGTTTCATTTTATTGATTTTAATCAAAACATTTGGTTAGGTAAAGAAATCATTTTGATTTTTTTTGTAACAAATCACGATTAATATGGTTGATTTCATCAAAACAACTCAGGGTAATTAAAATTAAAGCCATTTTCATCCGAGTGACGCCGGGTATTCTGCTAGTGGTATCAAACATAAAACTTACGCTAACACTGGTAATGTTAATGTTAAAAAAGAAGCACCGGTCTACTACACTCTCCATCTCCCTTCTCCACAAAGAGAATGTTAAATTAATCAACAATGTTGTTAAAAAAAATGTATTGTTTGTTTGTTTGTTTTTGAATTTCGCGCAAAGCTACACGAGGGCTATGTGCGCTAGCCGTCCCTAATTTAGCAGTGTAAGACTAGAGGGAAGGCAGCTAGTCATCACCACCCACCGCCAACTCTTAGGCTACTCTTTTACCAACGAATAGTGGAATTGACCGTCACATTATAACGCTCCCACGGCTGAAAGGGCGAGCATGTTTGGTGTGACGGGGATTGGAACCCGCGACCCTCTAAAAAAATGTAACTAATAATAATAATATTTGTTTGTAACTTTTTGGAGTAGTTGAAGGCCATATATGTTTCCTAATTAAGCTGTTAGTGTCACTATATTCCGTTGTAATGTGTATTTACTATTACGTTTACATCTCCCCGTGGGACAGAAATAAGTACACAGACTTACAACGCTAAAATCCGGGGTTCGATTCCCCGTTCAGAATGTAGCAGATAGCTTAATGTGGCTTTGCTCTAAAAACAAACAAACAGTTTCGTTTATTAGGTATGCTTAATTAATCAGTAATTTTAAAATAAAAAGACTGACTGCTAACCTGCTTGGAACGGTGATTGTTAAATAAAGATTTGTTTTGCGTAAGTCAGCTACAATTCATTTAACTGGCCGCAATAGTTTGCTCATGGAAATCAACCTTGCTGTTGTAACTATACGAGTACCTCATTTAGCATCAAATACGTGTATGTGAGCAACCTGCATTTTTCAATTCAAAGTTTTAAAACATGATTAATGTTCTATTTTACATTTTTGAACTATATATGACTGTTTTATTTCGTTCATATAAATTACACGTAAAATAACAGGTTTTCAATAAAATATATTCTAGTAGTTATAAAAATTAGTTCTATCAAAGGTTCGAACCCTTGTTCGGTAAAGTGTCTCGAACTTTAGAAGGTCAAAATCTACCCTTTTTTTAGAGCCATATAAGAGATGCTAACTTCAACAAGACACAGCCTAGCGTTACCGAGCTTCAGTTTTATCATGTTATCATTCGTTACTTTTCATAATTAATAATAATACTTCTCTCTAATCGTTTGGTTTCCAACAGTATTTTCCCTGGATTTTTCTCTATTAAACAGTATAACTACTCTTCATAAGTATTTCTTAACATTAAAATCGAGACAAACGATCCTGTTAGCAATACTTACCCAGTGACTATTCTGACCAGTGTCCAGGAATGCTAAGTTCGTACTGCGACCCACCAATGAATCAAACTCCAGTTTTTCACTACGAAGAGCAACAAGAGTGGTCCAGATGATAGCAGGATCTTCTCCAACAACAAGATATTGACACATTCCACTCAAGTACATGTTTATAGAATCAAACAGATTTTCTACAGTTGATGGACTAGGATCAGCCGAGGTTATCATAGAGTTCATCCCCAACATCACGTTCACCTACAACCATTTATGATAATAAAAATTAAGAAAATAGAAAACAGCACTTTCCTATTTTGCAACGTGTCGTAGTATAATATTACACGAGCTTTCATGTAAAAATAAATTAACAAATACGAAACTTATGCATTAGCACTACAAATATGTATTTTATTTTCCCAAAACGTGAAAGTATATTCCTCAACTATATCGGATAATTCTGACCACTTATTATACCATATACAGTAGCATAAGAATCTGAGAAAAAAAAATCTAACCTTCACTGGGCTGATAGGCAACAAATACGATTCAGTCTGACGTTTTTTTCGTATGGCTCTTTTTCCCGTTACAAGAAGCCTTCTCATTGGCCAAGCTGTAAATTATGAAAACAAAGCTATATTTCAAAATTGGTAGAAAATCATGAGAACGGACCTCGTGATTTTATTAATATATATATATATAGTTTCATATACTTTAAACCACATTTTAACGACAATCAGTACTTAAATAGTTCCTTCAAACGTTTACACCATCAATTTGTCTACATTCTGGCATAGGCTTCCGCAGTGCCAGGTGGTTAGGGCGCTCGACTCCCACCAAACATGCTCGCCCTTTCAACCGTGGGGGCGTTATAATGTGACGGTCAATCCCACTATTCGTTGGTAAAGGAGTAGCCCAACAGTTGGCGGTGGGTGGTGATGATTAGCTGCCTTCCCTCTAGTCTTACACTGCTAAATTAGGGACGGCTAGCGCAGATAGCCCTCGTATAGCTTTGCGCGAAATTCAAACAAACAAACAAGATTCCGCAGAAATTTTTCCAGGGGGGAGGGAAAGTAGTGTGAAATTGTGAACTGAAAAAAATCATATACATATGCTGAATGAATAAATAAAGAATTATGTTTCTCGTTTCCCGGAGCACAAGTGCCCCCTCTTGCCCCCCCCCCTGCGGACAGCCATGCATTCAGGACTTTCACAGCTCTCTTTTCGTCAGTTGTCCTAAAGAACGTAATGAACATTATTACTGAAACGTGAAGAAACTATAAAGAAGGCAGAACAATTTACCAATAGCATATACACATATGCATTACATTAACTTGAACTGATGTATTCTGTTAGTGATAATTAGAAGAGTTTCACATCATTGTAGTTCATAATGTAAAGTATTTTTAAAAAATCACTATAGTTACTATTAATTATCGCAACTACGCCGTGATACTATTAATTCTTTATTGCACATTGTAACATACAGGTAACAATCTACCTTTCTTGCTTAATACACATACAATTGATTCAAATCTGTACTTAAATGCTCTTACCTCCAGATAACAGTTTAAGTAAATAATGGAATTATTATTGTTGTTTCTTCAGTTGAACAATGTATTGTCATGATGCATGCAATGGAGGGTTAAAACAGAAGTTATAAGTTTTTGAAATACTAAACCAGAGGTGTTTTAATATGAATCATTAACGTTGTAGAAAATTGGGTAAACATAATACAGCGTTATAAAGATGGCTAGAAGATTTTGTTAATTAAGTTAATTAGAAAAAAATATCTCACATTTTTTTAACATTTCTAGCAGGAATAATTATAAGTTCCCCATCTATGGGGAATATTTAAAGAGTGGTAGATGAAGGAATAACAGATTCGGCAACTTATAATTCTGAAAACAAAGAGTTTATCATGGATAATACAACAGAATAACACAATATAAGTACTGTCTGCATCCCTGGACCGATCAATATCTATAAAGACGAAACGTGTGTTTGTTTGCACCCTAACTCCTCCGAGCCTATTGAGCCAATCTCAACCAAAATGTGTATGTAAATACTATGAATTTTGGGGAATGTCCCAAGAGGGTCAAAATTTAACCCAACCCTATTTTTACTTTGTAAAGTCTGTTGGTTAATTACTCCCGCCCTATTGAGTCAATCTCAAACAGTCTTGGCGGGTTGACGCTTTAGACAATGTTGAATATTCTAAAGGGATTCAAGATCAAAGTCTGAAAGTTGCTGGATTGTTTCTGACCAACCATGCTTTTCTCACAGTCGATGAGATTTAGGGTATTCAAGGGTGGGATCACCTCATAATATTTATTTGTTAGTAGATGAAAAGCAAACTGCAAATGTTGTTTATGAAGAAGCTTGTTTATAATTTAAAAATTTTGAGATAACTTTTATGTTCAAGTTATTACTGTTACGACAGTGGAAGTCACGCGACGCTGGAGGTTCTAGAATGATCATGACTTGTCGGGCAACCTCACGAATGTCCCAGCATTTGCTAGACACCCTCTATTTTTAGTATATAAGCCGGAGATAGATCGAAGAGAAATAAATTGAGTCAAGCGAACAGTAGACCCCCGTAAGTAAATTGTGTG